CTCCACTCTAACCCCTCCCAGAGCGTCGACTGGACTCTAAATTCCTCGCCTAGCTGACTCCGCGCCCCGGGCGCCCCCCCCCCTCCCCCCGGCCCCAGGCCCCCGGCCACCACACCGCCCCCCGTTGCACTGTTGTGGCCCCGTCCCACCGCCGCGGCCGCGTCCCTCGGCGGCGGCCCGGCCAGGGGAGGAACGGCTGCGAGAAAAAGAAGCCGGCCGCTTGGGCCTGCCCCGATTGGGGGAGCCCCACGCAACAGGGCCCCGCCGGGGCGGACACACCCGCGGCCGGCGCGCTGCGGGACAACTCACTCCTCCTGGACGCCAGCCGGGAGGGGGGGGGGGGGGGCCTCTCGCTACCGGCGGGTGGGCGATGGCCGGAGAGAATGCGCGCGGGACCGGGCGCCCGAGGAAGAACAAGGCCGTCATGGTCGCCAGCCACCCCCGCCACCGGGAGGAGAGAACAATGGCACGAGGGAAAGCCCAGGATAGAAAGAGGGCGAGAGGGAGGGACAGCGACGAAGGAAGAGCGACGAGGGCGCCCGGCTGACGGGCAATTTCGAGGAACCACAACCCGAGGGCCACTGCATATTGGCCCCTCTGGTAGGGGGGGGAGGAGGAGGAGGGGACCCAGGCGCCGGGGGGCGCTCTGGGCGCGGCGACGCTTGCTCCCGCCCCCGCCCCGGAGGCTCGGGCTTTCCATGCTCGGGGACCCTCTTGCACGGGGCTTGCCGGCGCGGCTTCGGGCCCGCCCGCTCCCCGGGAGGCGAGGACCTCCGGCCGGGCCCGGGAGAGAGCGAAGATCAGGATCGCACATGACCCCACTCGGCCTGCGGCCCCCCCGCCCCGTGTGCCCCTCCGCCCACTGCCCCCCCCCCCCCTCGCCCCCCCAGGGAGGCCTGCCAATGTGCCCCGGGACCACACCGGGCCGAGGGGGAGGGGCAGACTACGCGGCCCGGGTCAAGAATGCGCCCCGTCCGGCCGCGAGCCCCCCTCGGTCCTCGAGCTGGCGCTGGCGCCTCGATCGGCCGCTGGCGGGGCCGGGCTGGACGAGGCGCGCAGGAGAACCACACATCCCCCCGACCCGGGGAAGAAAAGGCGCCAAATGAGGTCCAACAGACCCCCCCGCACCGGGGGTGACTGGGCCTCATCCCTCGCCTGATGCTCCCTCCCCGGGGGGGGGGGGGGGGGGCAGGATGGCAAGCACACCCGGTCGACGGTGTCCCCGCGCGCGCGGTCTTGGTGTTTGCACGCGCACACGCGTACACGTACACACGGCCGTCTGCTGGGCGCCTCCCTGGCCGAAGGGGCGCCCCTGGCGGTGTGGCGTCTTGCTGCTACATGCTCCTGCCCCTCCCCCCCCCCCCCCCGCTCCTGGCTTCCTGTTCCCCGCTCCCCGCCCCCGAACAAGCGGGAGGGACGATCGCGCCGCCGGGGGACGGGGGGAGGGGAGTTCCCATGGTTGAAAGCCCAGGCGGGGCTGTCTCACACTGCCCCTACAGGGCAGGGGCGCGGTGCCCTCTCACAACGCGAAAGCCCCCGCCCACCCTCGGGGCGGGGCCGGAGCCCGGCAGAGGGCACAGGGGCGCGGGCGATGCGATGATGACACATCTCCCCCCGAGCCGGGG